CTTCGAGGTTCGAGCTTATCATGAGTCTCGCGTCTCACGAAAGCCTCGCAACCCCAAATCTTGATGTGGTCTAGTTTAGGTACTTTACCAGTCCACATCTCGTGAGGAGTTTTGGCAACTTTCTTTGTAGGGACTAGATTAAGAATATGGGCGGCAGTCTCTAAGGCATACCCCCAGAATGAGATTGGTAGCGAAGCTCGACTCATCATGGAACGAACCATGTCTAACAAGGTTCGATTACGCCTCTCAGCCACACCATTCAACTGCGGTGTCCTGGGAGGTGTCAATTGTGAGACAATCCCACATTCCCTTAGATAGTCGAGGAACTCTGAACTAAGATACTCACCACCTCGATCGGATCGAAGCATCTTAATGTTCCTGCCCAATTGATTCTCGACTTCCTGTTTAAATTCCTTAAACCTCTCGAAAGTCTCTGACTTATGTTTGATTAAGTAGACATATCCATATCTACTGTAATCATCAGTAAAAGTCAAATAATAACGATTAGCATCCCTTGTGGCATGTTTGAATGGCCACACACATCCGTGTGTATAAGGTCCAACAAACCTTCACCCCTTTCACACGAGCCTGTGAAGGGTGACTTTGTCATTTTTCCAAGTAAGCATGATTCGCAACTATCATCTGACTTTAGGTCAAACGACTCCAAGACTCCATCCTTTTGGAGTTGGCCTATGCGTTTCTTGCTTATATGTCCAAGCGACAATGCCATAATGATGCTTTATCCAAGTTATTATTAGTAGTAGAATCAATACACAAAACATTATTTCCTAAGTTATCTACAACAGACACAGCTTCATACACACCATCACAAGGTAATGCTTTAAAATAAAGAACATTATTAAAGAAAGCATCAATAGAACCAACTTCATTATTAAACGAAAAGGTAAACCCTTGTTTGTACAAAGCATGAAAGGAAATAATATTTCTTGCCATTCCTGGCGAGTAACAACATTTATTCAAATCTAAACTAAACCCACTACTTAGCGATAAAGTATAAACTCCAATCTTGGTGACAGGTGAAGCTTTCCTATTCCCCATGATCAAGTTTATTCTTCCTTGCTCCACATCCTCACTTCTTCTTAGTCCCTGCAAGTCACAACAAATATGAATACCACAACCGGTATCAAGGACCCAAGATTTAGAATGGGGTGAGTTATTAGAAATGATAGTGTAAATACCTGCATGGTTGGGTTTGACTTTCCCATCCTTCACATCCTGCTGGTATTTTGGGCAGTTCCGCTTCCAATGAGCCTTTTCATGGCAATAGAAGCATTCAGCCTCTTTTGGGTTAGAAGAAGGAGTAATGAAACCTTTCTTGGTTCCACTTGAAGAAGAGCCATCAAGGGTCCGAGCCTTGGTACCCTTCGAAGATCTCTTTCTCTTCCTCCCTCGACTTTTCCCGATTGCCAAAACCGGAGTTGAGTTTGGAGTAGGAGTGATAGCAACCGACTTCCCCTTAAGACCTGTTTCTGCGGTCTTGAGAAGTCCCTGAAGTTTGCTGAGGGTGACCTCTTCCTTGTTCATGTGATATGTCATGCGGAATTGATCATAGCACGATGGTAAGGAGTGCAAAATGATATCTATTGCAAGCTCCTCAGGGAAGTTCACATTAAGCTTCAGCAAACGATCCACATACCTTTGCATTTTCTGCATGTGGCTGGTGACGGATTCCCCGTCCTTCATCATGGTTGTTATCATGGAGCAGATGATCTCATACCTCTCTTGTCGTGCACTTTGATGGTATCTTTCCATCAAATCTTGGTGCATTTCATAAGGGTAGAAATCTTCATAAGACTTTTGGAGTTCAGCTGTCATTGTGGCCAACATGATGCAAGCCACCTTGGTCGCATCTCTTTCATGAGTATGAAAGTCAGCGATCTCCTGGGAGTTGCAGTGGACTCATCAATTTCCTTAAGCTCCTTGTCAAGGACATATTCTTTGTCCTCGTAGCGGGTTATCATCCTGATGTTTCTGATCCACTCATTGAAGTTGGATCCATCAAAGGTAACTTTCCCACACAAGCTCATAAGAGTAAAGGAGCCATTAGGATTCGAGCCAGAAGCAGCATTGTTTGAAGACATCTGAAAGAAGAGAACAAGTTTAGTATAGATCTATGAGAGTCCTTAATAAGACACCCAAATGTCATATTAAGGCTAGGATCCAATCACAATATAACATAGCTTAGAAGAGGTATGCCGTAGTCTAAGCTATACCATATTTGAAAGGTAGGTGAATGACGATTCACCAATTTCCACCACGAAAACCGAAACATTTAAGTATAAGGTTTTGTTTGACTCCTAGAAATTCCTAGATTCTTTGAGATTCAATGAGCTTTTCAAAGGCATGTTTCAATCTCGAGTGTGCCCTCCAAGTTTTGTGACTGGGATACCGAGGATCACAAAACGAGGTGTGAAGTAACCATGCAAATCACTTGGTACCCTTAAAGTTTATCACTCAATCGATGTGCCGGTAAACCACACACGCTCCACCGATACTATAATAAACCTTAAGTCACCCTTTACCTACCTTGTTAAGTCCAAGTTAGTGTGCCGGTTAACCACACACGCTCCACCAACGACTTAGACAAAGTGTAAAGTGTAATTTCATGGATTAGCACCTTATTCACATTTTCCTAAAGTAACTAAGATTGGGAATTTAATAAAACATTTAGTTACTTTATTATATTCATCATACTTTGAATGAGAATTTATAAGTCCTTGTCTTACCCGTTCGGCTAACGACCATCCACCAGTCAAGCAAGCGGTGGGTGAGAGTAGATACCCATTAAGTCACCATTTTATAGGCAAAAACCTTATAGACCGGCTTCGTGAATGAGGCGTACTAGCGGTAAGACGACTTTGTTCTTATACATACATATATATATATATATATATATATATATATATATATATATATATATATATATATATATATATATAATTATTAAATCATCATAATATAAGTATAAGGGTTGAATTTTAACTTTTAAAATTCTAGGGGTTGGAACTAAAGTTTTAACTTAACTTTACTTGTTCCAAAACTTGAGGGCAAGTTTTGTAACTTTCAAAACTTTTCATTTCTTGTAACTTATGAGTTTAATAGAGTAATAAAATGAAGACTCTTCATTTTTCTAACTCTTGTGTTTTTTTTAATGGTTTTAATTCAAGTGTGACTCTTGGTTTTCCATAACTTGAGGACAAGTTATGGACTCCATTAAAACACATTATGATCAAGAATTAATCTACCACATAGGTTACAAATAATTCCTATGATCATCTAAAACATCATAAGAACAAGAACATGAATATGAACTCATTCATAAATCAAAAATTACACTTAAAACTTTGTAATTTTGATAACTAGTTGTTGTAAATGAATTATCAAAGACATTACATTAGCTAAAACAAGTTTTCAAGTACCAAAAAGTTTAGGGTAATGTTTCTAATTCATTTCCAGCAACTAAAGTCGAAATTCTGCAACCTGTCGACCCTACTCGCCGAGTTGGTTGAAGATACACGTGAACTCAACAAGTCCCCCTTATGGACTCGACGAGTCCATTCGTAGACAGCAAGATTTTCGACTTTTTTCCAACTTTTAAGCACAAATAAAAAGCAAACAAGCCTAGGCTCTGATACCACTGATGGGTTTTGAGCATTCTAACACTTCCTAAGTGTACATGCAACCCTAATAACCTTGGATCTATGTTTGTCTAATTAGCATGCAAAGTTGAATTCCAAGGCTATATTTCTATCTAGCATACATGGGGAACAATTTTAACTTGAATGATAAATAGAATAACTTACCTTGTTGTTGCTTGTGTTCCTTGAAACCTTGTGAGCCTAGCACCCCAAGTGTGATGCCTCAAATGCTTCACACAACACCAAATGCTCTTGGAAAAACTTTTGAGAGAACACACACTTCTTGAAATCGGCCAAGCCCTCTTGTTTCCTTAGTGTAACCGATTTTGGTGGAGAATGAGATCCTTATATAGTGTTTACACATCTAGGGTTACACCATTTAAACCCTAATGTGTCATGACTCTTCATTTCCATGACCCATGGGTTTGTAACTCCCATGGAGCATCCTATGGGTAGAACCCAACTTGATAATCCATGGAGCCTCTTAGCCCACTATACATGATATGGATGATTTACATAATCAACCCATATATTTAATTAGTTCTCTTTTGACCACTTAATTAATTCTAAATTAATTGTTGATCAAACTAATCAAATAATATTATTAATATATTAGAACTTATAATATATTAATAATCTCCAAGTGTTATTTCTCTCATTTAGTCTATCCAATTGCATGGTGCCATGCAACCCAAATGGACCATGCCGGGTCGGGTCAAGTACATACCAGAAATAGTTATGGACTTAGACACCTTATCCAACAGTTTAAGCCAGCAGTAACTTGCTGTACTGTTTCTAAAATGATGAATGCTAGAGGAGGAGTGATCAGGGGCTCTTCTGGGAGATCATCTGGTTTCCGAGTTGAAGAACCTTCATCAATCAGAACAATACTCTGAGATGGAATTGGAGAAAACATTGATTGTGTAGCTCTAAAGGCATCAACAATGAGATTTCTCTTGATCTTTGCAATATCACTACTTCTTTGGAGCACATCTACTAAGGAGGGTCCATGTACTCAACCTGGATCAAGTCTTCATCATCAGATTCATCTCAGAGAGTGAATTTCGATACAGGTTTCTACAAGATTGTTTGACCCCTGCGACTAGGTCCTTCTCCCCCTCTTGTGCCGGAAGGCCCAACATCCGCGACAAGCCTGGCATTTGCTTGAAGTTCTGATAGTCTTTTGAATACTCTCTAAAAACTCATGTTGATTTGTTTAGACAGAGCATCTTAGGCTTCAATAGTGGGCGCTTGAGCTTTAAGGTGATCAAACAAAGAGGCTAAGATTAAGAGCATTTCAATGAACTTGTTGTTCGGAACATCGATAGTGTTCCAACAAGCTCAGAGAAGTTTGATCAAGACCTGTTGCATTATTAAGTTGAGTTCATCCTTCTTTTTTATCTCCTTCTCCAACCATTGGATTTTCTTTTCATGACACATATGAGTTTGTTTGAGCAATTCGTTGGTTGCGTTGATCATGTTGTCATGAATCTTGAGCATTGTGGTGGTGGTGGAGATGTGGTGATCCAGGCTATTATTATACTTTTGTTCAACTTCCTCCAAGGTATGCTTGAATCTGAGAGACTTGAGTTGATCAAGTTGATTCGCCTTTTCGACTTTCAAGGGGCCAACTTCTTTGAACTCTGAAAGGGATTTCAGAATAACATCAAGTTTGGGGTCGAGGCTGGTGACTTTTTAATCAGACTTTGAGTCGAGTTGAGCCGCGGTTTTATCAAGAGAGTCAACTTTTGAGACAAAACTTTCCACATTGTCTCGGATTTCTCGTAGAGCAAATAGATTCACGATGTTTTCGTCCGAGGAGCTAGTTTCCGAGGTAGAACTCTCAACCTTGTCATCATTGTCATTACCACCGTTGTCTTCATGTGTTTTGGAAGGAGAGGGATTTGTCTCGTTTTTATTGCCTTGATGGAGATTTGTTTATTTTTTCATTTCCTTGAGTGTCTTAAACTTTGTCATCAATTTAGATCTCTTCTTCTTGTTGTTCCGAGGAGGATAAGGAAAGGCCGAAGTCGTAAACTAGCTTGGAATAAGATGGTTTCTGCAAAGACTTGAAAGCTAAAATTATTGGAAGAGAAGTAACTGAAGCACTATCATCATCAAACATGTATTATATGGAATGTTCTTCATCAAAAGGAGGATTGAAAGCTTCATCATGTGGAGACTTTGGAGGATCATCAGAAAGGATTGTTGTATCATGAACTTCTCCTATGGATGCATTATGGTTTGGATTGGAAGAGATAAACTCTTGATATGTTTCCTCATCAGTTGGAGTGGTGAATTTCAGATTGCTTTGGATGTCCCTCCAACGCATGGAGATAAGAGTCTATTCCACTTGAGCTCTTGTTATCTATGGATGACGAGTATGTGCCCTGTCAATAAAATCATTCCATTGTTCATTAGTAGTACTTGGTCGTCCTTTACCTGAACCAGGTATCAGACCAGTTAGGGCTCTGGAAGTCGAAGGGACAACTCTAGCTTCCGAAAGCTTAGAATCTGAGGCAGGGTCCCCATATTGTGCTTGTGTAGAAGAAAGAAGGAAGCTCGAAGGGAAACGTGGGTGTGTTCCAGGGGGCTTCATAGAAATTTATTCATTACATGCACCATCTTTTTGGTAAGATGGGGGTGGATTCTATGCAAACTCTCCGTGAGTGTGTGCCTGTGTTTTTGAAACTTTGAAGGGTACTTCAGAAGAGTGGATGGGAGGGGTTATCGGATGTCCAAAGTCAGACGGAATGTCAATGTGTGATTCATTTTGAGAGGAACCACTCACTTTGGCTCTCTTTTTGGCTGGAACTTTGGAGGGAGGTGTTTTACATTTTACCATCTTTTTCATTCGGGCACCAGTGGAGACTGGTTTGTTCACATCCGAGGGATGTTCATTCGAGACTAGGGCAGATTGTGGTAGGTCATACACAATCGAGGTCTTTAAATGTTGCTTGAAAAAAGAGAATTGGATGGAAGTATTGCCAACATGTGTTCTAGAAAACGATGAATAGGTCTGGAAGAAGTTTGGTTCAGAACCCTATAAGTTCTAATGGCCTTGAAAGAAAGATATACCTCTTTTGGATCGGAGTTGATAGAATGGCTTTGCTTCTTTCCTTGTAGAGTTTTTGAAGTTTCAGAGCCTAGAATCTCGGACTTGATATGTCATTCGGCTTCCTCTTGATGGCAAACTTCTGAAAGTCATGCCATAAGACCTCGGTCAAGTCAACAATGTTGCTTCGTCCGGAGTAGATATTGTACACAACGTACAACTAATCCTTGCTCATGGTGTCAATTCTACCATGTTTCCTTGATAATCCTCAAATGATCAAATACATCAATACAGTCCAAAATATGGGAACCGTCGATTTCTTGAACTTTTTGGATTTGAAATCACCGTTATACCCAATTTCATTTAGAAATTTTTGAAACTCTTTAGAAGTAGGTTCTTGCACTTGAAAACCCTTATGGTTTTCTAGGATACAAATAGCCTTGAGAAATGTCTGCTTGTGTACAAGGATGAGCCTATCACCTGTGATTTTGATCTCAAGAACACCATATTCAATCTTGATTCTTTCAAAGGCGATGTGAAGAATTCGTAATGGAAGTTTAAGGTTTGGAGTTTTGGTAAGCGGAACAACAATGGGGTGATGGGAGATGAATTCGATCATCACTCGAATGGATTCATTGTAATCCACGGGATCGAGTGAGAAAGGTTAGGTTGTTTCTCTTCAGATCGGTTTAGTGGATGATGAGGATGCAGAACCCTTTGATTATTTCTTCTTAGTTGCAGGTTTTGAGGTTTCGGGAACATTGTGAAGGGACACCATTGTTGAAGGTTTCAAGGCTAGAAGAACAGGTTGTAGAGAGAGATTTTAGGAAGAAGATGAATAAAGCATAATGGGGAATAGTTGGTATTTGAAAAGCTTTTATAGGTTGGATTTTTCGGGTCTGGATGGATGAAAGGTAATGATGACAGCCGAAGGAAAAATGGGTCACATTTAATGTGTTGTCAAAATTAGTATTCTTAAAAACTAAAAATCCAAAAGATGGGACGCCTGTTCATGCCAAAAAAGGAAAACCATCGTTTTAGTTTGAGTTGATATGCACTTTATCGAGACGTGTGCAAAAGCATGTTTATTGAGGGTTAAAGGATAATCATCAAGAAAATATTATCGTTAATATACATGAGAAAACATTTCAGAAAAAAACTTTAATGAAAACCTTTGAATTCCTTTTTATAACTGAGGATCTAGGAATAAGTAAAAATCTGAGAATGAGATGTCATAACATGCTTCAAAAAGGATATGAACACATCATTAGTACATGATATAGAGTTTAAGATGGCACAATCTTAAATGGAATATCAAAGGTAAATGCATGAAGATCTTAGAGGACAATTTTAAACAGATTGAGATTCTGAGACATGAAGGATCAGAGTTCAGATAAGGGTATGAGATGAACACATATAACCGTTTCAGATTTGAATTCCGAGGAAAACTTAATAACACTTAATTTTGAAATAAATTCTAAAGAGAGATCAATAAAAAAAAACACCAATGTAGCTATATTGGTTAGGATCTTCAGAATATGAGGAGAGTTGTACAACTTAAAACTAGAAGAAGATGTTAAACAAAAAGATACGTCAAAATGATCCTATATTTTCCAAGAGGAAATGATTATGAGATGAAAATATTTTGACATCGGAATTATTTCACTTTCTGATGTTTCCATCAGAAATTACAAGCCTCTTGGAAGAATTGTGGATCAGGCATCATCATACTCATTTTGTTTAGAAACCCATTAAATTTGGTTTTGTCTAATACTTGGTAAAGACATTAACAATTTCATCATCAGATGGAACAAAAGTAAGTTCGATGTTTCCTTTTAAAACATGATGTTTAATGAAATGGTACCAAATATCGATGTGCCTCGTCATAGAGTGTTGAATTGCATTGTGAGAAATCGCAATGACACTTTAAGAATCACAATAGATTGGAATTTGTTGAAATCGATAACCATAATCCAAAAGCTGAGATTTCATCCAAAGAATTTGCGAAGTGCAGCTTGCAATAGGAATGTCTTCTGCTTCGGTTGTTGAGAGAGCAATGTAGCTTCGCTTCTTAGATGACCAGCTAACCAATATTCTTCCCAAAAATTGACAAGCTCCTTAGGTGATTTTTCTATCTAGTTGAAGACTTCCATAGTTTGAATCAAATTATGCTTGAAGAAGGAAACTCTTATTGTCCGAATACCAAATTTCGAGGCTTTTTGTTCCTTTTGGATAAAAGAATATTTGCTTGACCGCCAGAAGATGAGACATCTTCGGATTGACCTGAAATATGGCACATAGGCATGCTGAGAACATGATGTCCGAATGACTTTCTATAAGGTAGAGTAGCGATCCAATCATTCTTTTTTACTTTTTTTGATCAACAACAACACTTGATGGGTCCGAGAAGGTCTAGTGTCCGACACCCACAGAAACCTTTGTAGAGGCACGGGTGTCCATTAAATAATTTTTCAGTAGTTTGGAAACGTACTTCTTTTGGTGAAAAAAGATTCCTCTGTTGGTTTGCTTGACTTTGAGTCCGAGGAAGAAACACAATTCAAGGTTCATGCTCATTTGGAATTGACTAACCATTAACTTGGCAAAATCAGCAACCATCGTTAAATCCGTGGATCCAAAATTGATGTTGTCTACATAAATTTGGAATAACATAAGATGGTTTTCATTTGATCTTTGGAATAGGGTAGGATCCAAAATTCCTCTTTGAAAGTCGGAAAGCTTAAGAAAATAAGTGAAAGTCTAGTACCATACGCGTGGAGCTTGCTTGAGGCCATAAACAGCCTTTTGGAGTTTGTATCAATAGTCCGGATAATTGACAAAATCAGAGGACTGTTGGAGGTACACTCGGTATCTAGTTTACATTTAAGAAAAGCACTCTTAACGTGCATTTGGTAAACATTAAAGCCTTTGTGAGTTGCATGAGCAAGAAAGATTCAGATGGCTTCAAAATGAGCAATAGGAGCGAAAGTCTCGTCGTAATCAAGTCCTTCGATCTGAGTGAATCCTTTGGCCACCAATATTGATTTGTTTTTTATAATAACTTCGGCGTCATCTAGCTTGTTTCGGAAGACATGTAACAACGTGAATTTTAAACCAAATTTTTCATTTTTAAAACACAATACACCACAAGTTGCATGTTCTTGAAACTCACAAGTAACAAATTATCAACACATTTTAAAAATCATTTATCACAAATCCAATATCCTCCAGAGACATATCTCCAACTAGGATGTGTGTACAATCAAGCCGGCGCCTTACCACGATCCTGATAAGAACCTGAAACACATAACACGGTAAGCACGAAGCTTAGTGAGTTCCCCAAAATACCATACACAAAAAGAATTAGCCACTCGAGGCTATAGCTCTGTAAGACCCTCCGGCCAACGTGTCTCAGTGGGATCCTCCAGTCTCACAGCTCGTTGGACCCTCCGGCCCGGTCTGGTTAAGACCCTCCGGTCTCATAGTTCGTTGGACCCTCCGGTTCGGTCTAAGTAACACATAATATAAAATACAATACATATCACACAACCATGCATAACTCAAGAAAGCACATAAGACCCTCTGGTCACACATAGTTACCACTCTAGGTAGAGTATAGTGAGAAGACTCGCCACGCAAGAAGGTGAGAAATTAACCTCGCGCTCGGATCTCGAACTAGCCTCCGCCTAACACAAAGGATGAATATCTCTAATTAAT